CAATGGGAAGAGTACTTTGAAGAATTACTGACAGAATAGCGGGCAGAGTTTAAAGGAGAAAGGGAACAGACACGAAACATGAAAACTGCAGGATCACCGATACGAGTTATGCAAGAAGAAGTTAAAAAACACTGCGGCTTCTTGAAAAATGGTAGGGCACCAGGCCTAGGAGAAATATATGGAGAGCTGATAAGGTGTGTGACCAATAAACTCTACAAACATTTAACAAAACTATTTCAAACATGCATAGATAAACATGAAGTACCGGAAGAGTGGAAAATAAGCTATTTAACAACGATATATAAGAAAGGAGACAGAAACAAATGCGGACAGAGTGTATGGAAAACTTATCAAAGCCAGAATAGAGAACGAGTACAAAGATGGTGAGGCAGAAGAACAGGCCGGTTTTAGAGCAGGAAGATCAACTGTAGACCATTTATTCAGTTTGACCCAGGTAATGGAAAAAAAACTAGCGTATAGCCAAGAACTCCATTTACTTTTTGTAGATCTAAAGAAAGTATACGACAATGTTCCGCTGAAAAAGCATTGGGATGCACTGGAAAAGACCAATATCAACTTAGAACTAATAAAGACAGTAAAAGCTCTATAGTGATGCAAAGGCCAAGATTAAATAGGGAAACTTAATCAGTAAAGGCTTTATAGCAACTAAAGGACTTAAACAGGGATGCTGCATATCACCATCACTATTTAAAATATACTTAGAACAAGCGCTTAAGGGGTGAAAAAGCAAATGCAGACACATGATGGGAATACCGCTCAATGAATACAATCTATATACCTTAAGATTTGATGATCAAGTATTAATTGCACAGGACTGATGACCTAGAGCACATGACATGAAAATTGATAGAGGAATACGAGAAATGGGGTTTGGAAGCAAATCTAACGAAAACAGAATATATGACTATAGGAGGTGAACAACGAAATCTGAAATTGAATAACGGACAAGAAATAAAACAATGTACTGAATACAAATATTTAGGCACGAAAATTTCACATGAGAGAATCCTAGACGAAGCAATTAAAGATCGGAATATACAAGGACGCAAGGCAATATCCCTTCTAAATGATGTACTGTGGGATCAAAATATCAACAAAACTAACAAAATGAGAATATACAACACCATAGTCAAAAACATAGTCACGTATAGTTCAGAAGTCTGGCTACTAAAGATCAGAACCGCAAAAATGCTGGAAGCAACTGAAATGGACTTTTGGAGGAGATCGGCAGGCAGGTCAAAAGTGGAAAGGGTAACAAATCTGAGAATTAGGAAGATTATAGACGTAAAACACACAATAGTAGATGATATAAAAGACAAACAGCTGATTTGGTTCGGACATGTACAAAGAATGGCAGATACAAGAATACCCAAGCAAATAATTGAGTGCAAGCCAGGGGGAAGAAGAAGACGCGGCAGACCAAGAAGAAGCTAGAGAAGTGGAGTAGACGAGGAAATGAAAGACTGAGGCTTAGAAAAGAATGCCTGGATTGACAGATATAGTTGGAGATCGGGAATCGGAAGACGTAGAACGTTATAAACCGATAATTATATATACAAGGTGGGACACGTAATTTTGTATTTTTTGGGGGACATCTTCTATTGGTATTTTCACCCCCTACTTGTCAACCCCTAAGCGGGGATGACAAGTATCCCCAAAATTTCAATAGGAAAGGGGGGTCGAGTGATACGCCATTTGATAGATTTTTTTATTAGGATTATGTGCCCAAAGTTTCATGTTGCTACTATTTACCCTGTCGAAATGATGGCTTATTAAAGTTGTGTATTTTTTACCTCATAATAACAAAACAACAGATTTTTCAAGTGAATAAACGCAAACCATTTTATATGCTGAACTGTTGAATGACAATACTTTAATTAAATACCAATGGTATTTCATTACTATGGATAAATAACCTTAAAAAATCTGTTGTTCTGTTATTATATGGTAGAAACCACACAGTTCAGATAATCGGAAAAAGGCATTTTTCCTAACTTTGATAAGCTACCATTTGGGCAGGGTAAATGGTAGCAACTTAAAACTTAAGAGATATAATCCTAATAAAAATATCTACCAAATGGCGTATCACTCGACCCCCCTTTCCTATTCAAATTTTTGGGGTTTCTGTCACCCCCGCTTAGGGGTTGACAGGTAGTGGGCAAAAATACCAAAAAAACGTGTCCCCCAAAAAACAAAAACTAACGTGTCCTAGCGATTTTTGATTAAACACCTAACACCTGAGAAAACCTGGGTGGGAAGTTTTTCGTGCCCCACCCTGTATATATAACAGTTGATTGAAAATTGAAAGATGTTGAAAATACAAGTTATCTCGCTGGCGTCTTGGTAACTAGATGGAATTGAGACGGAAAGTTTGAAGCTGGATGGACGGTTGGGACAGTTCCAATTTGGATGGTGGCCATATGTACGGAGACTATGAAGGAATGTTTCCAAATTCAACGGAAGTCGGAAAGAGTCAATAAAAACGAAATGATCCAATAGCTGCAGAAAATGTATTCCGAAGTCCTCAATATCCGCAATTGCAATCAAAATAATCCACAAACCATAAAAATTTGTAAACAAAATCAAATTCTAGTTCGTTTTTGTTTGATCAATATAATATTTATTCTTGCGCATTGAACAAGCCTATTATGTTGCCATTCAATATTGGAAAAGAGAACCGCGTTTAATCCCAATTGAATTGAATCAAAAGTGATCCGTGACAAATTTAAAAAAATGTTTAATGTTTCCATACAGTCCATCACTGAAAGTTATTTTATTCATCACGCACAGTGTAGGTTAGATAATTATATTTTTATGAAGGAAATGCTGCATTGAAAAAAAAAAAAAACAATCCACTGTAATTGGTTTCAATTAGTCCAGCAATACTCTCAAAATTCAGTCGGGTAACAATGCTCTTCCCAATATCCGAAGTGCAATCTTTCTAGCTGATCAGTTCCTTTACTGAGAAAAACCACCTAATCCATCAATGAAAACCTTAAAAGGTTACCTACTTCACTGTAAATTGATATGCCTAGTTTCCAATGTGTTTCGACATTAACTATACCAGCACTATCCACTTTTCTCTAATTTTGTCTGGTAAACTGGTAAATTACAGTTTCTATGTCATTAATTCCGAGGAACTGAGCGTTATTCGTCAAATCGTGGCGGCGCTAATCAGTACGAGCATAAACCGGTTAGAGCAAACAATCGTAGTGCATCTCGCACATATTGTATAACGACACTATAATGATATAATTAAATAGTACCGGGCGTACTTAAGGTCACCGTAAGTGTGTTTCGTTTGTGTATGATAATGCATTGAAATTTCTATTCAGAAAAACTAGGACAAATAATGAGTAACATACCTAGATGTTTTTCTATATTTTTACTTAAAAAATGTTCTACTGCTCGGAGCAGCATGCAGTCAGTAGTCAATAAGGAGTTCGGGGTCGGAGTTTGTTCTAACTCCTTTTCTGTTTTTGTATACTTCTTCAATGTTTATCATTCTTTTCAAAGGAACTTAACATTAAACTTGCAATTTTCCATAAATTTTGTCAAGAGTTTGATAATTCTTACTGCTGCTTTATAATTTTCGAACTTTCAGTGAGGGCATAAAATTGAAATCTTCAAGGTGCTTTTCCGACATTTATTTTCCTTAGTGTCTCACGTGTTTGATAATTCCTTCTTTCATTCAGTGGTGATGGGAGCAAGCCAGGAAGAACTAGAACACTTTGAGACTGCACCAATAAGAATCACGGTATCTAAGACTCTAGAAATGATGATGGCAGCATATGTATATAGTAAGTATGGTGATGTTCTGAGAACTTTAGAACTTGCTTAACATCATCTGAAAGGACACTCATCCAAATATCAGTATCAGTGAAATTAAATATATTTCTTGAATGCTCCCGCAACAAGCAAAACCGAAAACCACGTGGAAGCTTTCTAGAACCTACTAACAAATGAAACTACAAAGATATTACCAAACAGCTGGCGACTTTAAGGTAAAAGTAGTTGGGAAATTTTTAGGGATCTACGATCTAGGAATAAGAAATGCATGCGGGCGGAATTAAATTGGAAATATTTGTAAATGAATAAGAATATTTGTAATCTCCAACAACCAAGCTACCGAAAGGACGTCTGCAAACATTATTATGCGAGTCAAATTTTACTGATTGGAAAATTTCGTAACAACTGCTTATCCACTCAACTTCCTTTTTTGTTGATGAATCTAGGATTAAACTGGAGAAGGCTTCTGAGGATAGACCCAGAAAACGGAGGAGTATTCGGAAATTGAAGGAAAAAGAAGATAGGAAACCGAAAGAAAATCGAATACGATTAGAAAGGTCGAAGCAGCAAATATATCTGAAGAGTCGGAAAAGGAAGAGAAAAAAAGCGTTAGATAACGAACAAAGTTTCATACCTCATAGAGAAGGAAAAAACGGTGATATGAAATACCAACTTCTTCAACTAATGGGTAGGAATAAAAATATTGATAAAAAAATGGTTTAAAAAGTATTGTAATGAAATGGAGACACTAAAACAATAGTATAATTTCTACAGCTTGTTAGACGGGACAATCTGCAGTAACAATCTCAATACGTGAAAAGGCTGAATTGTTATTGATAAATCAACCATCAAGAATATACAAATCCAGGTTGAACATTTCAATGACTTGATGAGACTGGGATACAAATCTCTTCCTGGGAATTTGTATAAGTTTAAAGACTTTATTCTTATTTTTCTTTTTCTTTTTATCTCTTCGTTTTCGTCCTTTATTATTTTTGGAACAACTGACAAATATTTTTGTTGAAAATATACTTACCTAAATGTAAAGTATAAAAGTTAAAAAGACGAATGAAAAAGTCTGGATTCAATGCCTTAAGCATTAAAAAATAGATAGATAAATCAAAAGTCCCAGCTTAATTTCAAATTGTTACAACGAAGATTCAAAAAGAACTAGATATATCGTCTCTTACCTTCGTTAAAAGTAATCTTATTTTCGCTTGTCGTGCTACTCGACCGGGTACTTTTCGTGCTACCATCGTAAGGGTTGTACCGTTGTCTTCGCGCAGGCGTCGATTGACTAGAATAGGAATATTTTGAATAGTACCCGTTACTGATACTTCTCGAATAACGGCTGGATACCGCTGAGGAATTAGTGTTGGATTCTTCGCTGTCGCTGTGGTCATCTGAATCAAAATTTAAAGCTATATTGTCAATTGATATACAATTATTATAATTATGAATTATGATTATGAATAACAAGGTGCTAAGACTCTATGTTCAGGTTCAGAGCAAAATAATGAGAAGCCTTATTCCTGTTACCTGGAAAATTTAGAGCTCGTCACGCTGTGTCTGATTTTTGAGTCCGCTCGAAAAATTGCAGTTACAATTTTGTCAGTATTTGAAGGCTCGCTCCCATGGGACATTTTCGACTTTGATATTTCTTTCAAAATTCCAGTATAAAGTTTCAAAAATTCCAGTAAATATGGTCCTGGCAACTCTGAGAGCTCAAAAATGTTTAGTTAGAGATGGGATATACCGGGTGTCCCACCGAAAACTGTCAATGGCAATCTTGAAAACGGCAAACGATAAAAAAAAAGTGAAAAACCCGTTTGGAAGGTTGGAAGGGGGAACCAAAACAACGTACTTTTCAGGTCTCCCTGAATCACCCCTCCGGCCGTAGCTACCCTAACCTCAAAATCTTAAATGGCACAATGGGTCATGTGATACCTTGTTTTAAAGGTCTTTCGATTCTCTTAATGGATCTGCAAAAAAAAATTTATCCAGATTTGAATGTGACTCTCATTTTGATGAAAATCTCATTTGATCGGGTGGAACAGGTAAAAGTGATTAAAAATCGATTTTATACAAATTGAATAACAGCATGAATATTTTTGAGGAAATCATCAAGATTTTATTTTTTTGAACTCCTTTTCCCTCACTGTACCTGACAGTGTTCACCTCCTCAAGAGAGCAAAGTTGTTAACTCGAAGCATGCGCCATTTTGTGACAATTCAAATTTGTATCTAGATCATTTTTTTTTGCAGATTCGTTTAGAGAATTAAAAAACCTTTTAAACAAGGTATCACATGACCCATAGTGCAATTTAAGATTTTGAGGTTAGGGTAGCTACGGCCGGAGGGGTGATTCAGGGAGACCTAAAAAGTACCTTGTTTTGGTTCCCCCTTCCAACCCTCCAAACGGGTTTTTCATTTTCTTTTTATCGATTACCGTTTTCAAGATATAGGCCATTGACAGTTTTCGGTGGGACACCCGTATGTATATTGGATTCCATGTCTATATAAGCCTGATAATATCAAAACTCCACCAGGGGAGCCTTGAAGTAGGTTGAAACTTTAGAAATGGGGTTGATAAGTATCAACATTCTTAAAAAAAAAGATATATCATTTGAAATTTGAGTCTAAATTCTCAAAAAGAACTCCACGAAAAATTACACAAATAGCATTCATTCTGAAGTAAGTAGGTACTTCATAGGATAAGAACTGGGAATTAGTAGTTATCACAGTCAGGTACTGATTTCTTTGAACGACATTCGTAAACAAACCAATATACAAGATTAGGTAGGACCTAAAATACAGGTGGTCAACCAGGTTTTCCCATTCAGATCCTCCATTATAAAACATTCAGTTTTTAAATACTATTAGTTTCATAATATATCAGTTAGAAATCATCATCACAGATGTTCTTCGACCAGGGCCAGTAAGGATTAAACTTTCATTTTTTAAGAAGAAGCTCAACAAACATGTTCGATAAATCGTTATCAAGACCTTATCATCCTCGTTGAAAGATGCAAATTTCAACAGTAATTGAAATATTTAAAGCTATTTCGCCTTTAGTCTCGGTTTTAGGTCGAGACATTTTAAATTCGTTCCTATACAGGAAGCAATTCACCCTCACGATTTTCTAAGATTAATGTGATTTATTGAATTTTTTTTAATTTAATTAATTTATGAGATCCTTTAAGTTGTCGTGCATAAAGTATTTGTAACACCAAATCTACCCCAAGGAATATAAATGAACCTGCTTCAAAAAACACCAACACAAAAAAAAAACTTGTAGGCAGGCTCTATAATCAATCAAAAATTACAGCTACTAGCAAAGACCCATGCGTAGAGACAAAAATATCCAGTTACAAATGACAAAACGTTGTGCGATACACGTGTGGGATTTATTTTTCCTAATGACATGAACTAAGATCTGGACGTTTGGAAGGCCATATGGGCCATGAAAAAAAAAAAAGACATGAGAAAACAACGGGGTGATTAGAGTCTGAAAATCTATTTGAAATTGAATTAATATTTTTGGAATAGGATACCTAATTAAATTTCGTTTAATATCAGTTTTATACGTTTTTAATTGGGAAAATTTGTTTGGTAGAAGAATAAACAAACAAAACAATTAATCTAATTTCTTTCGGAAAAATTTGACATTCAAAAATGTTTAGTCTGAAAAATCTTCATTTTGATTTAACATTTTTGAAATTTGTTAATCAAACTTCGGACTAGATACCTAGTTTGTACTTAATTGAGATCTTTGGCATACATACAAAGTCTAACAATTTCAAAAATAAGAGCAAACAAACATTGATTATTTCGAAAATCTTTACTTTGATGTTTGAAGTCCATCAAATTTTTTAGCAAAATAATTAATTACTGCTTACAATATATCTATGTATTGTAACAAAACACTCTAGTTATCGCATGTAAACAATATGATTGATTAAATATTACTTCTTTTTGGTTAAAAAAGCATCTTTAATTATCCACTTTCTACCCTCTTAATATACAGCAGAATTACTGCTGCCTACTGGAAATCAATACCTAGGGCCGTTTGGGAACCAAAAACTGGGCCTTTGAGCACAACAACCTTGAGCGATTATGGGACTTTCAATGTTTTGTCGGCGGATCATTACATCGATTATCAAAGAATGAATTAAGTTAATGTGCTAATAATAATTTGGCCTTGTAGTTTTACTCGTCACGAAAATTAAATAATTTACGATCAGTAAATAAAAGCTGGCGTTAAACACAAAAGCTTAGCGTATATTGTAAATCACCTAATTTTTAAAAGCACGAGATAGGTGATCTATTTTAGTACGGTATTTTTGAAAGCGGAAAACGACATATCTGTTGTATGTCTGAAACAAATATCGAAGAAGTGGCACCCCTACTAAATTTCGAAAAGTGCCTCTAAATTTTTTGTTATTTAGCCGGTATAGAAAAAAAAAAACAATATCCTGATGTTGCCGCTCGAAAAAGTTATGGAGTACGTTAACGGAAATTAATTTTTGGTTGGAAAATATATAAGGTACAGTAAAAGGATATCAATTTTGATTGACAAAGATGAGATAGTCTGTAAAGGATCTGTCAGGCGATACCGGAAGGAAGACGAAAATATTATGAAACATGGTTGATTGAAATATGGTCTGATGTTCCGAAGGTCTAGAAAATTTTAAATCTAGTATAGGACTATAAGGACACATCAGGACTGGAAATACTATCAGGAGTCTGAAGAGAGGATTATGATGAGAGTATATTTGTAGTGAAAAAGAATGTGTTAATTTTTTCATTAAATGTTGGATTAGATGCTCAACAGAAATGCAATACTAATGGATAGGGCAAGCTATCATTCTCACTTGAATAAATACAGCCAACTGCTTCATCGAAAAATGCAAATATATTTAAATGGGTACAAGATGGAAGAACAAAATTACCAATGTCCTTTCTCATATAGCAGATAGATTTGCCAATAAAATTTGACAGGCCTGTTAAGGGATTTGACCACTTATGAGTTTTTATTAGTCCGCATAAATTCAAAATGAACAGCGTTCTATTGTTTGTCGATTTTTATCTGACATTTTCCGTATGAGGAGCGAGGGGGTGAAGTATATGGCAAAAACAGGTATGACGTCAGGTGACCATTGGCGTTCTAATGTAGGGTGCCACCAGCTCACATTCCTTTCGAGTATCAGATAAAAATCGACGGACTTTATGTGTGCTCTTTTGAATATTTTCATCATGTTTTCAGGTTTGTGATATGATTGTTTTGAGGTTAACTTGGTCCATAGCAACCGATTCTGAGTGATATGGAATTTTACAGATACAAATTTGATTGCTACTTTGAAATTTGGAATATGCTTAGCAAGGATATCGTCACCTTCCTCGCATAAGGGCGTATCTCAATCAATAACTGCAACTTTTCAGGAGAGCGACTTTTATTAAACATGTGATCACACTATGACAAAGCTAGAGCAAGGAATGAGCACTTGCTATCGTAGTATATGATCCAAAACTCACGTTTTTGACATAAGAGATTTTGTCGAGTTTCAGGATCCCGAATTTTCTTTTTACCGGTTAACCTGTCAAACAATGCTTAATATTTTATATTGAATTATTCTATATGTAGAAACTTTATAGTTAAGCAGGTACCATATCACACTATCTCAAACTTATTAAGTTATAACAAGTATTTATTAAATAGCAGATTGAATAAATTTTCAAAGAATTAAATTAACTTCTTCTTCTTATGCAAAATATCCGAAGAGTCAACAGAAAAATCAATTTTTATCTTCGACCCCTGTATGAATTTTATTCACTTTAGGGAAATTTCAGTCAGAAATTACGAAAGTTCATCACCAACTAGAAAGCCATAAACGAACAATGAGAATGAATATTAGGGTAAAGCAAGATTAAGTTACGATTTGTGGAGTATATACAGTGAATGATGATGCAATTTTATCCTCAGAACACAGCTTCTTGAAGGAAATTACAGGAAAATATCAGCAGCCAGTGCTCCGGGAGTAATCTTGGTCTTAGGAGACATTGAATATTGGACACAGACACTGAATAGTCAGACTTGAAAATCCAAAATAAATTCTTCTATTATAAGAACATACATAGGTACAGTGGGAATCATAATTGGCACACACTATATAAATATCCCTTGTAATGTGTCAAATCTGACACACAGTAATAGCAAAATGCTGCACTAAATAGATTTATTGGTTAGAATTTTGACTTAATACGAGGGATTTTAAAGAGTGTGTGCCAATTGCAATGATTCCGACTGTACCTAGACGTGGACTTAATATTCATAGAATTTTAGAGCAATTGGGATGTCAATTGTCAGAGCAAAGATTCGAGAGTAGTTTCTATTTTCTAAAGAA